CCATCCTACCCTGTATTCCTCATCTCTGTTAGATCCTCTTCTCCAGTCACCTCGATCCCACCTGGAGGTGACTTACAAAACCCACCAGCGGGATTTGTAAGAAAGCTCTTGCCTTCTTCAGTCGTTTTTGCTCAAGCAAAGTTCCTTCAGCATTACCAAACCACTGCTGCAGGGGAAAACTGAGCACATCCAGGAACATCCAGAGAGCTCCTCTGGGGCCGTGCACACCAACAGAATCAGATATTCTGTGTAGTGCCCAATTAGAGTAAGAAATAGAAGAATGTTATACTGCTGTGCACTGGAGAAAACTCCAGGTACAAAACTATATTCCACAAATTACTCCATCTCTTATAATAAACACATTTACTTTCATAAATAACTTTGTGCTTTATTCTGTGGGACCCAAAGCAATGAGACTCCTTGTTGTGATCAACAACAAGCCCCTGTACACAGAGGCCATTTAAAAATCTCTCTCAGCAGTTTCATCTTTCCTGTTCCCTGCCAGCTTTTCCTGTGTATCACAGTAAGTTGCAAATTTGCCCTTCTGGGGGACTGTTTCTGCTTTACAGGCTCTACATCTTCACCCATTTTCATCTGAAAACCTTCCCTTCAGAGGCCTCCTTGCATGCAGTTCCTCTGGAACTCTGAGTACATTTCCATCCATTTCCCTCTGCAAGAAGGAAGGACAGGAAAAAGAGGTAATTTTCAGCATCATCCAATTCCAATGGTTTCAAATCCATCTCTAGCTCTCTGTGCTAGCTGGTGATGTATGTTTCACTGCAGTCTCCAGGGATTTCAGAAGCATATCTAAACTTATCCTCAACATCTCTCATTATTTTGAGGAAAAAAACCCAACATGACTTTTATGCAAAGAGCTATGACTAAATTAAGCAGCTTGGCCAACAGCTATTGCTGAAGTTTCTGATGGAGACAGAAAATTAAGTGAAAGAAAAGCAACATCCAAACCAACACACTTAAAACCTTAATTTGGGCTTGTTAACTGAAAAAGGTGCATTTCAGATATTAATGTTTTGTTTTGAAAAATGAACCTGCAGAGGAGGAGAGCTCTGCAGAGGCCAGGCTGTTTGCAGCCACTGACAAGCACAAGGTTCACAGCAGCCCCCGCATGCAGCCTCTGATCCCAGCAATAGTTTAGGAACCCTGGAAAGATTTGCAACATGAAGAGAAAGTGAGAGTCACACAAATTTCTTAGAACCTGAGAACCTCCCACCTAGAAAACAGCTTATTATCAAATACAAACCATAATTAAATACAGCAAGCTGCCTCTCTAAGCTGAAAATGTCCATCAAATGTGCACCATAAAAAAATCTGTATTCTACAGGACAAACCACAAATCAGACATGACAGAAAACTGCTGAGTCTGAATACATTATCTTACAGTTATTACAGCTGTCACCTATCACAGAATCAGAGCAGTTTATGTTGGATGGGACCTTAAAGATCACCTTGTTCCAACCCACTGCCATAGAGTGAGTCAGGAAATTTAAAGTGTGGATGCTCAAAAGTGGAAGAAAAATTCCATTAATCATCTTCCTGTTGAAAGCCCCCACAAATTTTACCTTGTTCCTTTCTTTATTGAAAAGGTTCTGTCCAAACATTTAGTTTCAAGAAATATTGTTTTAAAACATGCATAAGGGAAAAACAAAATTCTAAAATACATGTCACACCTTCACTATGGGAAAAACATTTATTTTTTGAACAAACTTGTCAAATGAAAAGTTGAGGTGTCCAACTGCAACTGAAAGGGTTTGAAAACCATGGGAATTAAGGAACTTTTGCCACAAACTGTAGAAAATGCCCAGAACCACCACTCACACATTTGCACTGATCCAAAATCCCCGCTCTCTGTTGCTGCATGGTTCTCCACTCCATGGAATTCCCTGTAATCTCCATTTATCCTTTAAATCTGCACTTCTCTACCCATCGCTTCAGCCATTAAACTGAAGTATGAACCAAAAAAAATATGTTTGACTCTCTTGAAGAAATTGGGAAGGCAGAGGCAGGAAAGATGGAAGAAAAATGATATAAAAAAATGCCTATGTTGTCAAACTTCCTCTGCCTGGCAGTCTGATTAAGCTGTGTGTGCATCTCTAAGAACTCAAACCCAGATTGGAAAAGCAGTTCTATTGCTGTTTGAGGGGGAAGCTTTGCACCTGAGTGTTTTCCAGGGGGTTCACTTGCTACACCCTGGGATGCAATTTCAATGGAGCAAGGATAAGTTTACACTGAAGAGCAACTGCCACCAAGAACTGTGTGTGCAAAGCACGTAGAGATGTTAAAAATCAAGATTTTCTTTAACACTATCAGCCAAGCCAAAAAGAAAAAAAAAAAAAATAACATGAATCATCCAGCACCTCACAGGGCACTTATCCAACAGGGCAGGGAGAGAATGGAACAAAGCCCTGGAGTTCATGGAGCAGGGCACCAAGCACAGGGCAATGCCTCGGGCCTGTGGGCAGTGCCCAGGGATGGGATGGGCAGGAAGAGGCTGCAGAGCTGGATGGGAGGTCATGGAGCCACGGAACATTAAACCCCAGTAAACTTCTTCTACTAAAACTGTTACTACAAGACATTAATTTAAAACTGGCTTAATCTTTTCTTTATGAGTGAAAGAAATTAATAATTTGAAAGCATTTCTATGAAATGGATCCTTAGGATTTTTCCTGCTTCAGTTGATGTCAAATAATGAGCAAAAAAGAACTTTAAATTGCTGTGTCAGGAAACAATTAAGAATTAGATGCTGGGCAAGTGAAAATTTATTTAAACGTAGTAATTGGCAATGTTGTACTGAGTTGTTAACTCAAGCGCAGACACCTATAACTCATTGAAATTCACCAGTCTGGGTTTTAAATCCAAATATTTGAACATTGCTAGCTATATATTTTTTTTTCTTTCAGCTTGATTTAATATAAATAACAGCACCAAAATGTTCATTACAATTCATAGTAAACCCAGAGTATTGGATGAGAAGGTAGCTAAAAATCAACAGAGTTAAAATAGCAGTTTTCAAATTAAGAATGCAGGAATGTAGCTCAAATGCCTCAACAGGCAAAGGAGACAGCTCTCATAAAACCCTTAAGGGCTTTTTACTTTTATTTAAAACACAAAGGATTAGCTTTCTAAAGCTTCTTTCGGAATTTAATTGGGAAAGTATAACTTTTAAAGTAGTCCATCTGCCTGGAGCACAGCAGCTGTGATGGGGAGAATGCTACTGCAATATTTGGATAAATTCTCAAACAGAACCATAAAAAATCTCTGGTAATTAGTGGATGAAATGAGAACCCAGAACTTGGCACTGGAATGTTGTTTGCAGAAACTGTTGGACTTGTTTACTGTGATTCCTGTTTCCAGTGCACAATCAGCACAGAGATTTCCATGACTTCATGCCTATCACAAAAGTAAAATTTGGTATTAATGCACATATTTATTTCCTCAATATCTTATGTGGCATTTCTCTCTGCAGTGAAATAACCCAACACTCATTTTCTTCTAAAACTTTGTAATAGAGTAATATCACATTATTACTTTGCTTAAATTATATTACAGTACCTAAATGTTACATGATGGTACATTAACAGTTTGCTATATTCTATAACAAGATCTTTCCCACTGCACCCATCTCCTCAATTCTTGTAAATTAAATATGGTAAAATCTGTGCAATGCTTAAATAAAAGGTTCTGAGCTAATGGAAGTAGTAAGGCTAATGAAATGACCAGTGAATTAACAGGGAACAGGATTAATAGTAATTTACCACTGTGCTGGGAATTTAGCTGTAATCTTGTACTCAAATCTGAACACTTGAAAATTGACAACTTTAAAAAGAAAAAAAAAGAATCTGAGTTTTGTTCAAACCTCAACTTGCCTCCAAATTAAGAGTTCACATTTGTATTGTTCAGTTTTGGATATTTCATCCATATCAGGATTTAATGGCCATTTTCAAATCTGACTGCTTAAGTTTTAAAATCTACATTTGGGAACAGATTCAGGCTTATGATATTTTGTATCTGTTGTATATAAATATATATATTGGTTTTTTGACCATTGCATTTCATATGAAAAAAACTTAAGCCACCTCAAAATTCTAAAACATTTTTCAGTTTCTGTACAAGTATCTCATTGCCAGAGTTACAGAAGCAGTGACGATGGGAAGTTACTAGGAGACAGCAGAAGAAAATCACACCTTTTTGCCAGTTTGCTCAGCTACAGCTGTTGTCTTTTTATTTTCAGGAACTGATTCCTCTTTTTCTGGTTATTCAGTCTGGACCTCTGTCCTGTCTACAGAACTGAGGCAACCCTTTGGATATGATTTGCCTTGTGCTGGATATGATCTGCCAGTGTGCAGCACTGCAAGAACAGCAGTAACAACTACACATCAATAACTTTCCTCACGGAATCCCACTGGATGCTCTGCTCTGCCCTGGTCATAAGTGGTGACATTTTCCTTACCTGTTTGGGAAGATTAGTTTCAATTGGACAATAAAAAGATGGCTAAGGAAGAAAAACTATCTCTAAAGAAAGCAATTCAGTTTGGTATTAATGGATATATTCCATCAGTGCAACTATGCATCAGAAATGAAAATTCCCCCCAAAGTTTAGACAACATGCAAATAAAACACATGTGAGTGAATAAAGCTGGATCCCTAATGGAGAGCTGCTGTCAAAAGAGAACCAGGAAAGCCATAGACTCAACCTTACCTTTAAATTAGTTAACTGAAACAGCCTGTTGCAATTTTGTAATACAGTGACCATGTTAGCTGCAGGTAAAAATTCCTGCACTCCTGAGCTACAAGAAATCTTTCCTTAAATTTTATATTTAATTTACCTTAGTTTTTGGTCTAATCTGCAATTAAATTTGGAAGAGAATCCCTAAAGAGAACATGCCATTTGAAAATATACATAATAACAAGGAGAAGAATGATCAACTCCAGGAGTAAGGTGTTAATTTGTATCTTAGGAACAATATTAATATACAGGTCAAATGTCAAATGAAATGGGTCGCAGAGAAACACGTTACTTACAAACTTTAAACTGTGACTCAATGGCCCAGCAAAACATGAAAATGCGTCCAGTGCTGCTGAAAAGGAACAGTCTGGACTCGGCAGATTTTATGAGACACCCCCAGCACCGCAGGAGCAAATCCCAGCAAGTTCGGTTCAAGGATGACGGTGTCAGCACCAAGGCACAGCTGGAAGCTCATCCTGCCCAAGACACAGCATTCTCAACTGGAAAACCAGAAATATTTAGGGATCACAATTTTTTGCTAGCTCAGTCTCCAACTTTTCCAAGGGCTCAGAAGGGGCTTCGGAATATTGCCATACAAACTTCTCCCAGCCTCAGGAAACACTTCCCGGTCTTTAAAAGGAAAAAGCTGACGGTAAGCAAGTCGCTGACAGAAATGCCAGCGGAGCCTGCAAACCCTATCCAGGTAAATGGCAATCTTTGCGAAGCAGACATTCTGTCCTCAGAGCTCTGTTACCTGAGGATAAGTAATCACTTGGAGGATGGATGCAGGAATAGCGAGGTGGGCTTGGCTCAAAGGTCATCAAAAGCACAAAGCAATGGACCGAAGTACTCGGACGATTTCTCAGCCTCAGACAAGACAACTGCGTCTACACAGGTGCCTGAATACATTCATGTGAGTTTTCCACAGGACAGAAACGTTCCCCTGGATGCACCAGACACGACCACAGTTTTGAGTAATTCACTACACTCTTCTACCGTCATCAACAGCAGCGAAAGTCATGAAAACAGCACACTGTCATCTGATTCTGAAAGAGCAGAGCCCTGCCTAAGCAATTCTGTGAGCTGCAGTGAATGGAACCCCCACTCTGCTGCTCGTGAAACGGAGAAAAGCGACCCTGAGCTGCCTGTAGCCAGTAGAGATGCCAGCAGTAAGGAAAGCACTCCCCTGTCACCCCCATCAAATCACAGCTCATCTCCTTGTTTCCTCAGAGACTGTCACCAGGCAGGAGAGCACAAGCCAGATTCCAGCTGCGTGACGTTACCAAGTGATGATCACCCAACAGTGGCACTGGCCAGCAGTAACGCACCAAAACCACGGCTGTCATGGAACACTGAAATGGAGAAAAATTCCACCCAGTCAGATGTTTCCCAGTCCAACAGCTGTTTAGAAGGATTTCACATAAAGTCTTATCCGCCAAGGAATGAAATAAACCTGCAAAGCAACAAAGAGATTAACGAAATAAATCAAATTCACTTGGCACATGGCGAACTCTGTGCCCTACAAGGCAGGCTGCAGTCTGTAGAGGAATCCTTGCAGTCGAACCAGGAGAAGATTAAAGTCCTTTTGAATGTAATCCAAGACCTGGAAAAATCCAGAGCCCTCAGTGAAGGGTATGGTTCATTTTTAATATTAGTAATTTATCAGAAGTGTAAAGTATATATTAGCATTCTTTTAACCTTTGCTACTGAAAAACAAGGCTCTTCTGATATTTAAAGATGAGTTTGCAAAAATATGTCTTACACCCTTTTTGTGGTATTCGGGCTTCAGCAGAGGAGCAAGTTCCTTCATAGCTTGGCTTCAGCTGACACTGCCTTTACGAAATCCAGTGCAAGACCCAGCTTAACAGCTCCCTTTTTTATTTAGATTTAAGGTTTTCAAAGCATGGCAAGGTCAGATACACATGGAGTGCCAGACCGAGAACTAAGGACAGAGCAGGCGAAGGCTGTCAGCAAGAACTCGCTTCAGACTCTCAGGTTTCAGAGTGGCTCCCTTCTGCACCCCCATAATAATGTAAAAAAACCCTGTATATATTGTCAGTTTGGTGACACAGGGACTGTGCCAAGGCTGCAAGCAGTATTCATGCATTATTATGCATTATTAATAATATTGATACCATAAATGCAACTAACATCCAAAGACTGGAAAAAGTTAAAATAGAATTATAAATATTTTTTATGCTCAAAACAGGTTTCAGAATATCCCAATAGAGCTTTCCAAGCTATCAACAGCAGCTCTTACAGTAATTGCATCTAGGACACACTTTAAAGTTCTGTTTTGTTGTTAAGTAGCATATCCTTCAAACAATTTATCTTTGAAAAGCTCAGAAATAAATCAAGGGAATAAATGTTCCATTTTATTTTTAAGGGGAAAAAGAAACTATGCTACCGTCAATTTAATCTTTAGCACAGGCACCTCATGCATGTAGGTAAATCATTTACGCATGCAAAACTGTACTCTTAATTTAAAAATTAGATCATGTGTATCAGTTGTACTTACTGATTACAATAATGACCAAATCAGGTCATTTTCCACGTTTCCACAACCTGTACAAACATCACAAGAAGGCTGCACTGAGGGTTTTGTGTAGGTGCAGTCGAAGAAAGAGCCCAGAGCACGATGCTGCTGTGCTCACACCACCCAGCATCAGGGCTTTGCCCTTGTTCCCATGTGGGCAGAACTCTCAAGGTAGAACTAACTGAGGCCAGAACTTTATATACCCCAATATTCTTACAGCTTCTGAAGGAAAAAAGAATTAAAATTAAAAAATCTATTTTGAAGAGTTTTTTCTCTTTCCATGTATTTTATCTTGGAACTGAAGTTAATTTGTATTTCTGTTGAATAACTTTACAACTTACAATTAAAATAAGAATTTACACTCATTAAAAATTGAAAATAATATAAAACAAATTAGCAAGTGGTTTCACTCCATACATATTACCTTTTTTTAATCTGGAAACCTTAACTGGTAATGTCCTTCTGGCTGTTAGCATGAAAATACTTTCATTAGCTTCTACTGTGCCCATATAAATTCTTGTTCTATATAACATTTCACCCATACAATCCAGCTACTCTCCCTCAGAGGCTTGTTCCATACGATTTTCTAGCACCAAATTTGTAATAGCCTAAACACAAGAGACAAAATCCACGTAGACAGACTAACAGCAAAAATGCAAAAAACATTTACAACACTCCAACCCCCAAAAATTCAGGTAAGAGACAAGATTCGAGGCAGAGATCCAAGTCTATCTCAAGTTTGAGCAGTCATTGCTCTGCTGTGATCTCCATCCAGACAGCACCTGTGGTTCCTTAGGAAGTGACAGAAAAGAACACCCACTCCTTCTCCCCTGCATGCAGCTCTCTAGGGGAGAACCTAAATTTCAATTAGATTTGCAAATCTGCCCATAGCAAAGACTAATTTGCAGTGAAGCATGGTCAGATTATCCAGCAATATTTATAATCCATTTCTGTTCAGTTACCACATGGCTGAACAGAAAAAAAATTGTCAAATATCTTGAAGTGTCACTCTGAGATTCAATGAGAAGCTTTAATCCACCTTGGCAGATTCATCTCACAGTAATGCTGAATGTTCCAAGCACTTGTATTGATATCACAACAATGCACATGAAGATCTCCCATTTTTCCCAAAACAATCAGAAAATTATTTTGGTACCAGCTGACCTCCCCTAATTGCAATAAAACTTGTTAAATGTAAGTGTTACACTTTCTTCAGGCATAATGAGCCACTAATCTCAACCTGTTTCTAATGCACATCTCTCCATCATATAAATATTGCAGCTCTAGTTAGTGTTAAGCATGAAAACTCACTTTTCTTGTTTCCTCAACGCTACAAATTTGTAACTTATCCGCAGTAAAAATCTGACTTAGTAATACTCAAATAAGGAAACATGGAAAGGGAAGACTGGAAAGCGTAAGGACAGAGGTCAGACTGATTTAGCAAATTGCATGGATTTTCAAATATTTGAAAGTGTGTTTGTTAGAAGCAGTCTCATGTCTGAGTGTTTTCCTACCAAGTGTTCATGCAAGAACCAGCAACCAGAACTCTTAACAGCATGAGGTGGCAAAGGTGCAAGACAAGGCTCACAGGGTTTGTGTGCTTTTAAAGAAACTTTCCAACGTAGAATTTGACACCAGAATTTTTAGTAGGGCTGACAGAAATGGTTACTAGAATGGCTTTTGTTCATAAAAGATTCCAAGCTCTGTTATTATCTGTAGCTCCACCTCTCATGAACTGCTCTCTGTTCCAGGCGAAACTTCTACCACACTGGGCAGGACCTCAACAACTGCAGCACCTGTCAGAACACGGCGTGCATCATTTACAGGTACCTCTCTCCCTCACACAGCTCTGTCCTGCCTGCACATCTCTCAATTGCACAAAACAGTCTTTTGCTCACACTTAGAAAATGTCTCAACTGTGACTAACCCAGTTTTTAAGAAAAGACCAAGTGGTTTTTGTGAGGTGCGTGGTTTGTTCCCCAAGCAGGAAACAGTTCACAGTGGTGTTAGCTGAGAGAGAGACTGGACTTGGGAGAATCCAAGCAGAAACTTTCCTCTAAAGCTTCATAGTGTTATCCCTGGCACGCTCTGAAAACCTGTGATGCCATTTCTGATGATGAAATTCCTCCGTGTGATACGTTTTTAAAGCTGGGGTTTCTGTAATAACTTTAGAATTTGGAAAAGACAAACTCGGTTCTCTGTATGCCAGTGAGCTACAGCTACAGTTCATGTTAACATGCAAAACAAACCCAAAATTCCCACACTGTTCACCTCAGTTGCTGTTAATTTCAGAGAGTGCAATTTGAATGTAGGCTACTTCAGATTTCAAGTGCAGTTTATGCTAAACTCTTATGGCCAGAATGCTTTGCAGGGCCGTGTTCTGGGAGCTGTAATATTCCAAAATCTATATCTGTACAAACACACTGTGAGAGCCTTCAGCTGTCCAGACATCAACCCCAAAGCCAGCAGGTACCAAGTCTTGCTTGTACTGCACGTGTGTTTTGTCCACTCAGTAAGGGAATTCATAAAGACATTATCTAATCTCTGCAAGCTCAGTTATGAGGTAGAAAACCCACATCTTGGGTTTTGATTACATTTACAAAAATAAAGGGTAAGAGAATTTCTCTTTGAGGCTGAAACCTTTTCCTTCGTTTCAAAGAACATGGCAGACCATTATCTTCAACAGTTTGTAATCACTATAGCATTAACTTTTAAAAATGGAAATAATTAATAGAAAATACACATGTTCTGCATGAACCAAATTTAGTAAAGAGCTTAATAAACTAGACAGAGCACTAGAACCCATTATTCAACATGCAGCTCAGTCCCATACTGATGTCCTAAACCTCTGGTAATGAAATTTCCAAGCAATTAACATGTCACAAATTAAACACCACAACTCCTCTGAGACAAAGCTGTAGGTCTTCTTCACAGCCCCCTGCATACTCTGGGAAGTTACATGACTTATCCAAGAGCACAGACTGGATCCATAGGAAAAAAAAAAAGATAAAAGATTTCCTTTACTTGATCATGGTCTCTGAATAAACAATCTCTGTGTGTTTTATGGGACTAGACATGAACAGGCCACTCCCTAGAATTTATAGGGAATTTTACACACTACCCTTGACCACAGGATGCTTTCTCTCTTTGGAAAAATACCCCGTGTTTTTAAGGTTACATGGTTTCAGTGCAGGATAGATCTTGGACAACAAGCACCATCATTCAAAGGAAAAAAACAGAGGAAGTAAGAAAACATTCAGGGACCTTTTTGATTTACCAGGTAGTTTGCAACAATAATGGTGCCTGGAGGCTCACACTGCAATGATTAATAGAACATGTACAGAACAGGTGCTCTAAAAAGTTTCTACTTTTAAGAGACAAGGAGGAAACAGTAAGGAAACAGTAGTTTTTGATTTACAGAGATGTTCCACAGGATGTGGTTATGAAAAAATCATTCTGAGTGACTAATATTTGAAGTTCATTAGACAATATCCTGAAAGAAGCAATTGTTATCAGTGATTGCTCCAGACAAACACGTGCAATTCCTGTGTTTTATGTGCCTGAAATGTCCATGCAAGTATTTTCCCTAAGACAGCATCACAGTTGTGATTATAAAATCAAGTGTTTTATCTTTCTCCCAGTTTTCCTGCTCCTAAAGAACCTCACTCCTCCCTGATGCAATCCTGCACATGCTGAGTGCTGGGTTGCTGTCACTGAACCATCTTTATCACACACAGTCACTGAGTCAAACAATGCATTAATCTCACAGAAATCCCCGTGTGGATTACACTGATCACTAAAGTAATAAAGAGCTTTTCAGCCTAACAGTGACTGTAAATTCAGCTTTATTAACTACCCAGCAGGGATTCCAGGCTTGGGATTTTCCATCTAGATCGTGTAATAGAAATATTTGTATTGTAAAAAACAAATGCAAGTAGCAACTAAAACCAGTTATCATGGACAGTATTAAATGAAGACTGAATTGACCTCCTGCCTCTGGAAATGATATCTCCAACATTAAATTAAAAACTCTGTAGAAGGGTGGAGAAAAGGAACATGAGCAGATGCTGCCCTTATGTATTCTATAAACCCAGCATTACATTTTCCAGTGCCCTTGCTCTGTGAATATTGAAAGGTATTAAGTTGCAGTTTTAGCAATAAGCTGATAAAATGCAAGAGGCACTGATTTTATATCACTTCCTTCTGCTTTTTTTATATTTATTATGTATTGCTTCTTGTTCAAGAGACCCTTCTCTTTTCTAACTGAAAATAATCCTCTTGCTTTCTTTTTACCCATTGAATTTTATTACTTCATGAAAAATCCCAAGACACGTGAATTAAGGGAAATGATCTTCCAGTTAATTTTAACATAGTATTTAATGATGTTTATAGATTTTATATAAAAATACAATTAAAAGCTTGTAAAGATTTGCACATTTACTAACTTTCACAGATTTCTTCTGATCAGTGCCAAAATCAGCTTCAGAGCCATGAAGTGGCATCCCAACCCCTTTAAATAATGCTCTTTTCCTCCCATCATGGCAAATACAACCTTTCCACTCTCCCCTAAAATCTCCTAAAACCTTCATAGCCAACAAGGCTGATACAACTCACTCTCCTGCCCAGAAAAGATTATTGAAATAAGGAAAATACATACAATACTGCTTTATTCCTGTCCACATTGCCTCTTTTGAACCTCACATTTATTTCCATGCACTTATCTGCTGTTACCTAATTATCATCTTGGCTCTTATTTGACATCAATAATAATTAGGGCTTTCAATTGAGGAAATGAGTTCTACTGTCCTCTTAACTAACACCACATATCTCAAAGACTTACATGCTGGCTTAATTTCATATATTTTTGTTCCTAGCCTGTGTCCTAGTGGGTGACACTCACATTTAACAAAGTTAAGCATGTGAGAGCTTTTAATTACGAGCATATGACTGTTGGATTATGGGATCAAAATCTGACCTTTGAATAAAACTGAAAGGGCATCCTAATATATTTTTATTTTTGTCCCATCCTTTTGGGCACAATGTTGGAGTTCTTAACTCACATGAAGTAAAATTTTTTCATAAAAAAAAAAATAAACAAGAGGTGAACTTGTTTTCAAAGGAAAAACCCCTAAATGCCCTGTGTTTTCCCCAGGCTGTATCACTGCACAACACCAAATTATTCTGATGAGGGAAGCAGCCTTTGACATTTTCTTTAAAGGGGTAATTTCTCACTTACTAGCATAGGTCTCTCAATTTTTTTTCCACAGTGTAGAATATGACTTCAGACAACAAGAAGGAAGATTTCATCAGATTTTGAAAACACTGGACAATGCAGAGCAAAATCCAGCTCCAGCTTCACCTCAGAAGCCTCCACCTGATCCTCCAGCTCCCGAGAAAAAGGAGTTAAGGAGAAAAACAAAAAAGGTGAAAAGAAAATGCTTCTGGTGGATTTGACTTCCTCATGCATCCTTTTACATTTCAAAAGACACTAAAACAGAAAGAGCCTGAGAGCACACACCTGAAAATGTGCTATTATGAAATCAAAAAGGTTAAGAATGTTTAATTAGTGTACCTGAAAAATCAAAATAATTGAATTTAATTAAATCAGCTCACTGAATAAAGGTGCATGAAGATACAATTTTCAAGAAAAGGAATTGTTTCTTTCAAAAGGAAGTTCTCATTTTTTTCCAAGGACACTTTCATATGCTTTGTAAAGACCTTTTTTTCAACTTTCCAAAAATAACAAGTTTTAAATCTCTACTTTAAAAAACAATGGTAGACAAAGCTAAGCATGTCACATGGCCTTCATTTCCCATTTATAAGCAACGTGGACTAAAAGGAAAAAAAACTTCATCGAGCTTTGAACAAACCACATAATCAAGAACAAATTCAGGGAAACCTAAATTGTTCAAACAAATCTCTCCTCAAAGGAGACAATTATAATTATTTCATATCCCCATTGAAATAATTTTGTTGCTGTCATCTAATATTGAACAACAAACAAAAGAATTTCAGCTTAAGTTTTAACTCTATCCTTTTCTTTGTTCATTATAAAAAGCCACCATTTAGAAGTTTCAGCCATTTAATGGACTTCTCTGAAAAGAACTGGGGAGCTGTAAAACAAGAGAAGGTCACAGTAACTCTTGTCTTAAACCCCTGCTCAAGCAAGGTCAGTTCAGTGAATTTGAGTCGTATCTCCAAAGACAAGAATCCTCAGCTCCTTGGGAAAGGCTGTTCCAGGGTTTTTCCCTAACATCTACTCTGAACCTCCTGCATTCTGGTTTGTGTCCACTACACCTGGCTCTGTCCAAGTACACCTGCAAGAAGAGCTCCATGGATAATGAGTCCTCTCTCCTAAATCTTCCAAAAGACTGAACAAACCCAATTGTCATTGTCTCATCTCCCACGCTGCAGCCACAGCCATCCTGCTGATGTCCCTGCAGTCAGCTGATGTCTTTCACACACCTGGAAGCCTAAAACTGGACACAATCCCTCAGAGGTCATCACACAATTTCTGGATAAAGAGGAATAACTATTTTGGCTACTGTCTAACTGAATCATTTGCCCAGTCCATCCATTTAAGATCTGTACTGCTGTACCAAAATATCCCAATATTTTTTTTGCCTTAAGATGTAAATTAATATATGATGAAAAGTTGAACATAATAATAATATTTAGTGAACTGATCTGTATTACACACAAAAAAAATAATTATATATGCTGAAAAGATTTTATCAAATATCAATGCAGCTACTTCTTTCCTCCAAAAATACTCAAGTTACCATTAGCACCATTGGGTGTGCCAATGGAAGCCAATTTATGATTGGTGATCCTATTATTTTATTAATGAAAACATGGTCACCTTTCATATGGGGGTAGGGGGGAAAAGGTTTTCCAAAGCAAGTTGAGTGGAATGTACTACAGACCTTTTCTTAGAAGTGGCCCTGGTTCAGGGTATTCTATAGATTAAACCCTGCATCTTATTTTTCTAAGTCATCCTGTGTTAATTGTGCAATGTTAGTTTTAAATGTCTGTACACTTTTTGTACACTTCTGTGTTCCTTGAATTCTTAGGGTTAATTGCACATTTGAAAATACATTAAAAACAATTTTGCACAGAAGAATTTTGTCTGGAGGAACTGACTTCTTTATAAAAAGAATCTTTTAGAAGAAAGTATGCAATATTCCATGGCTTAATTTATCAAAATTCTAAAGGACTGACACTTAAAATACATTTCTACGTTAATTTCAGTTAGTACAGAAATGACAGGAACAAAACTGTTGTTATTTTAGAGGCTTTTTAGAAGGAAATTAACTTTTTACTAACATATCTTTAGATTCCTCTAGTGAGATAGAAAAGCTCTTCAATAATAGGTTGTGGTTATAAAAAAGGTAAGAATTAAATGACTCCATCAGAACACATCACTATGTTACACTCAAGTACATGCACTGCTTGTGCTGCTGTGCCAACACCACTGAGTCCTTTTTGGCATCAGTCTCTATAATTGATGCACTGAAGGATTTATTAGTGTAGAAGTTATTCTTGTGTATTAAAATAACATTTTAAGACCAATATCCTCTGTGGTAAAGTACAATAAGAAGTAACACCAAGAACTTTAACACTAGTAACAAAAGCAAGCATTTTTTCTGTATTGACTTTTTATTAAGTTGTGATACAAAAGGAACTTTTTTGCCTTTCTTTTTGTTGACAAGCACAAAAAGTTCTCATTTTAAGCTATCTGATTTTGGGTTTGCCCACATTATGCATATGACGCCTTCAATTTATTTTCAAAGATAATTTAAACAAACCACAGCACTTTGGCTCACCACATAACACCAATCAATTCCTGTGTCAGGAGAACTATGAAAAATCTTCAGTTTAAGAAAGTTCAACCAAAGGTAGTTATAAATAAGGCTCTAAGTTTTATGACCTGAAGAAACATCAATACTCATAAAAATCTGAAATACACTGATTTAAGTGTTTACAGGTTTCATATTTTAATGCCTGAGCTTGATGGGATTCAGAACCATAGCCAGTTTTTAATCCTTAATCTCCCAGTCCCAATTAGCTCCTGTTTTCCAGATTCCTGACTCGGTGGATTTTGCTCTCAGTCAGTAAAGTCTGGATATGAAATTGTGTTTGTGCCTTTGCCCACGGAGCAGCAGGGAAGGGCAGGAGGCTCTGGGCCAGCCAAGCCTCAGCCAAGCAGGAACAGCCACTTCTGTCCCTGCCTCCTCTCTGCCCAGAGTTTTCAAACTCACCCCCTTCAAGGACAGAAAATATGGAATTCCAACGCTGTGAAAGCATTTTCCTTTCTACTGCAAGGAGTTTTTACCCCCAGTCATTCCCATGGTGCTCGACACTCAAAAGGTTTTCTACATCAAACTTGAGACAACTTTGGAAAAAAAAGACTTTTGTCCCACTGAAAGATGTTGGTGAGATGTTGTCAGTCATGGATACATCAAGAGCAGGAAAAGGGTAATGCTGTTTAGCTGCTGTTTTGTTTAGATTTTAAAATGTGCATATCTTAGCAATATAAAATAATTAAAATTTAAAGCTTTGTGACACATAATTGGAGAATCTTGGCTATATGAAAATACGATATGAAAGGGTTTATGGGAAATATGATATTGGGGTTTTTATTTTAGTAATTAATTATTAATCCCTATAGGAAATAAAAAAGTGCCAGATACACACTACACAATTTATAGTGTGAAGATTGGAAGAGCAGTAGAAATTTGTAGACTGTTGGAAGATAAAAGTATTGGCTACAAAAAACTTCTCTGGTTTACAAAATTACAGCATAATCACTAAAACTAGCTCCCAGAGCAGGAAATAAATGTTAGAAATACAAACACATTTTTAAATAAAATTGAATAATAACCAACAACTCCCCACAAGTTGTCATAAAACCCTACCAAAAAATCCAAATCACAGCTACCTGCCAGCACTTGATTATGAAAATACTGTGGGCTTCTGAGAAATACATATTTAAATGATATATGCTATATACAAAACATTGCACGGAATGCAGTATATTCCAAAATTACTGTATTTGAAACTGTTGTTTTATGGAGTCAAACTGACTTTCTTTAAAAATTAAAAATGTATGAATAAAATACTGATTTGTCTCCTGTTACAGCAGTTCATGTAGGGCTTCTGATGGTTCTGTGCACTATAATAATCCTGCCAGCACAGACACACAACATCTTCCTAATGGCACTCAATCTCTAATGTATGTTTTGTATATTTCTAGGCCATTTAAATGTGATGTTATCTTTTGCAATAAAACGAGATATTTTTATTAGGTTTCAGGAGTGAATTAATAATAAACAACGTTTAGATTACAAAGGAAGGGAACAGCTGTTCTTTGGGAAAAGAAAAAATAAATGGAAAGCTAACAGGCATGTCATGGAATCATTCTTGCAGCATTTCCAGGTACAGCAAGGATGTCAATTTGAATACCAAACAAAAGAGCTGCAGCTTTTAGCTAGACCATGGGTGTATTTGAACATATCAAATTCTCCAACCACTGCAGCTCTGCAAATAGTTTCTGTGGTTGTTGTCTGCTCTAGAGTGGCTTTGCTTAGCAGAGCTCACAGATTTCTTTTTGGCAAAGTTTTATTTGTACAATATTTGATATAAATACTGCCTAAAAACATTTCTGTGTAGCATAGCTACACATTTCATCATGTTAAACTGATATTGTGATCAAAATCAAGTCTGGAAATACTAAAGGAAACCTTTTAGGTACATATGGTGGATTTATGATATTTCTATTTACCTAATCAAGCCAAGACTGAAAGCAAGTATTTTTGTGTTCTACATGGTTTATAAATTTGACTTCTATAGTTCCTGTAGGAGGACTTCACTACATGACAATAACCTTTAACTAAAAGTCTAAATCTCATGAGGTATTCAAGGTAAGGCTTGAGTAGCCAGTTTCAGACAATAAACTTGACCCTCTTCATGAAAGTGTAGAAGCACTTCTACAACTACAAACAGTGAAGATTTTGTGGGCTTTTAAGAGCAAAAACTACCAAGCAGCTGTTAAAGCCTTCAGCTGCTGAAACACCACAGTGAAGGCAAGAATGGCATTTAACTAAGTCTTCCCTGCAGTAGCAGCAGAGAGCCAAATTACCTTTCCACCACCTCCTTCTCCTGGGGAGATTATTTCTTTCTGAGCCTGACTCTTCTCAGTAATTACATGAACACAGCTCCCAGCAGGCACTTACCAGCTAAGCCCAAGGCAGAACCCTCCCTTTCCCTTTTTCCCTTCAACTGGCATCACAGCACGAAAGGATCCAGGCAACTGTAAAGCCAGATCTCTGCCAACAAGCTAGAAGATTGTGAAAAGAGCACCTGAATATGAAAATTAACCTGCTTAACCCTGTCAGAAAGCAAAAAATCCTCTCAGGTAAATCAGATCCAGTTATCTGTCAGGTGCAAGGCATTTCAACTTGCAAGCAATTATAGGTTTTGTAAATTGTAACCATTGTTCTTATCAGCATAAATCAGTATTAGCATTACTTTCTACAGCATTTTCAAGTTATAGTAAATTACACTGCAGAAGTTAATAAAAATATTTGCAACATTCACAAACACAGTAGCAGACTTAAAAATCTAAAGAGTAACCTTCTGTCCTCCTGGAAGTGATAGATTTGAAATGTCACTTATATCTGTATAACTTCAGCTACATAGTCCAGCTGCAGAAATTCCACATGTTCCACCTGTACTTGCAGAATTCACCATATTTTCAGCAATTTGAGCTCATCTAAGCATTGTCCTGGACATAATTCTTGACTGTAGGCTTCATTTTGAAAAGATCAAGCATTTGGGCTTTCACAGCAAGTTTGAACCTCTCAAAAGGGTTAAAACAAACCTGAAAATTAACTTGGTGAACTAAAGTAGAACACAGAGCATGAAAAAAAGCTTCTTTTGCCAGTTCTTTCTGAATAAAAAAGACTTTTGTTCATTAAAAACAAGTTATTTGCTTATAAAAGGCTACTCTGTTAAGAAATGTTGCTTCAGCTGTAGAAAACATAGCTATTTATTGGAGTTCTGCTTTGGAATACCTCTAAAATGCCCAATAAACAAATATGTAGAGGTTCTCATGAACATAATTAGAAGCAAGTGAAGTGCATTTCAAAATTCACAGTGAATTTGCTCTTTTCAGGTTAAAACAGCTGAAGAAATTACATTAGATGGGAAGGGGAAGAAAAAAGAAGCAGATTTTCTAAGCCATTTCAATTTACTGTAACAAGCTTGTTTCCTACTGGTTTCCTAATGGATCTTTTATGCAGGATTAAAACAGCTTCGTTTTGCCTTTTCATGTGCTGTTTATGGTATCCAGAAATAGTTCTTAACAGACTGCTTAGGTCATGCACAACACTCCTATCACACTTTCTTTGTACAGAAAACACTTTCCAGCACTCCAGAGAACGGAAAGGGTCACTGGTCTTCATTCCAAACCATTCCCTGTTGTGACCATGGATGTGCCCGAGGGTTCCACAAGAGCAGCAACAGCCTGGAGTTCAGAACAGCTACAGAGATGCCTCAAATTTGCAGATGTACCACCAGGGAGT